TTTTGAAGTTACCTTTTATATTTTTGTCGTAGCAAAATGAATAGCAGTTTTGATCTGTAAAAAACCCTGCGAGCCTAAAATAAATGCAGTCATTTTATGGGTTCAGTTTTCACCAAAATAGTTTATTCGCTCGCAGAAGCAATTCACTCTAATAGTTCTTATCAGAAAGTTTTAACATTTTTCTTCTAAAGACGTCCCCAGCCAAGCTAAAACGACGTTTCACCTTGGTGCTGAATGGAACGGCAACGTTGAATTTCAGAAACGGGCTGTGCAAGGTCGGGTTAGGCCCGCTTCAGACGGGGCAACTTTTCCAGCAATTTTGAGGTTGCTGGCGGGTTGTTCCCTAGCTTTCCCTAGATCGACGCGAATTGCTGAGATCGGGTCCGGCTCGAACAAGCGAGCAACTCGGAGCAATTCGAAGACGGTTGAAGCGGCTGCAGCCAATCAAAGACGCGATATTTTCACGTGACACCCCTGTGGTGGTGATGATGACAGCTAAAGACTTAGTTCTGGTTTGAAATGGATCGTTTTCAGAAATAAACAGTTTCTCAACGCCGTTCAAAGATATAAGAACGCGTTTTTAGCGCGTAGCTGGGCGTCTAAATAGTGAAAGAAAAATCAAATTTAATGATGATGATGGCAAGTCGGAGCAATTCGGTTGCTGCGTGTAAACGCGGACGGCCCGTGTTGCTGGTGTTGCGACGTCAAGTTGCTGGGTGAAATTGCTCTGTCTGAAGCGGGCCTAAGCGAGTGTCGGCATCTTTGGTGTGCATGACCAAACATGTATGGTTTGCCTCGGCTAGACGGTATTTTATAACAATCTCACCTCCTTTTTTTCTTTTTTCTTCGGCAAGTTGAGATTGTTATGACTGGCCCCTCTTTGTTCCCACGACGTTCGGAGAGTACGCTGAGCAAGTGCACCTGACCGTCAAGGGTTCAAGTCTCGCGCCACGACGATGAGATCACCCGGACGACTGCGTGTCTCGTTGCAGTACTAGTGCTACGCTACTGAAAAAAAATGTTTGGTTTAACAGAAGACGAAACGAAGTATAGTTCGCCGATGACGCCGGGTCCAACAAAAGAACCTCCCAAGTGTGACTCGCAATCCTCGCCGGCGACAACGGCATCCTGACGCGCTTGACACGGCTGACAAGTAAAACGTTTTCATCAAAGAGGAGATCTCTCTGGCGTGGAAAGTCGGAAGGACGTGAAGGATTACGTTAACAAGCATCGGCACTCGTACAGTTGCAGCTGGAAGCGGGACGTGCTCCAGGGGGAGTCCGGCTTTGCAAGGGAGTAAGCGCGGACGACGAGGCGACCTTGGGAACAGGCGCCCAGCTTCGAGGTCATTCCAGTGGCGCCTCCCGTGGAACCTACCGCTTGAGTCCGAACTCCCTAAAGGCAGACAACGTGAAAACAACAACAACCCTCGGAGTCTTTCACCGCTGCAGCTAGAGGCGCCACCTTGGCCCAAGAACGCCTGTAATGCAGTTTCTACGCCTGCCGAGTATAAGTGCGTGGGCACGGAATGTGAGGGAGCCCCTTGTTCGTGAATACCACTTCATCTGCCGATGTCTGATTTATTTCTGCACTCAAACTTGTGTGATGAGCAAAATTAGCACTAGATTTGGAAATTAGTAATTTGAGTAGAATTTACCTGAAAAACGTAGTTAAATAAACTACTAATTACCCAAATAGGGTTGTAATTGAACGTTACGAAGTTACTCGGAAAAGTAGTTAAACTACAGTAGTTTGAGCAGAGTAGTTGAACCACTTCCAAATCTGGAACTAGCCCACTCAGCCACCGATCCCCCTACGATATTCTTGGAGCAAGAAAAATGCATCCCAATTCTTCAGCAGCTTCTTCTTCATCCAACAAATGCTCAGGCGTAGGATATTAGTACTGGTGTCGTCGTCTGGTTGAACCAATTGAAAATATACCAAGCAAAAACTGCCTACTCAAATTTATTTTCACAAATACGGAAACACCAAGTAATTTAGTCTTCCCGTAAGAGTCTCAAAATTAAGGTAGAAATGTTTGCAGTACGGACTACCATTCTTTTTGTCGCATTTATCTTAAGTAGTTTTAATTTTAAAATTACATTAAAATTTGCTCAAAACAATCAAATCTGTCACATTTATGAATTTTATTAAAATATCCAGTGCTCTCATGTGAAATTCCAACGATCGTGCGACCTTCATTACATATTCATAACAAACCTAAAAAACAATGAATACGCTGTTGCATTCCTAATACCTGGCCTCGAATACCTGGCGTCGAATGCGCCGAGCATAGACAGACGTCGTCCTCGACGTCGTCCTGGAACGTGGGGTCGCCCGAGAGGTCGTCCTTGACGTCATCCTTAACGTCGTCCGAGACGACGTTCTTGAGGTCGTCCTACAAGCCGTCCAAGAGATCGGCCTAGAGGTCGTCCTAGAGGTTTCAGTCGTCGGCTTTGATGTCAACCTCTAGGACGTCGTCCTCGACGTTGTCCTTGGCGTCATTTTAGGCGTCGTCCTTGAGGTCGTCCTTGAATTAGTCCTGAAGGTCGCCCTAGGAAACGTCCTAGTGGTCGTTATATACACCCTCTGTGACGTCGTCTCTGAAATCACCCTACAGGTCTTCCTAGAGTTCATCCTAGACATTGTCTTCCACGTCGTCCTAGCAATTCCAGCTAAACCCTCGCCGCGCATGCACGGAGCGCCAGTACGCACACATTCACATTTGCGTCCAAGCTGCGAAGCAATCACTCATGGCTGCGGCGCAAGCAGATAAAGCCGCGCCGCGCATACACGGCGCGGCAGTACGCACACATTCACATTTCCGCCCAAGATACGAATCATGGGTTTGAGTTCATCTAGTTGTCACCCGGCCAATGATGGCGGTGAAAGCGCTTGAATATTAAACGATTATACAAAAACAAGACAAGAGACACACACAAAGCTGCAAAGATGGTGGGAAACAACTTGAACATTAAACGATCATGATGTAGAAAACTCGAGACTGTGGTAAAAGCAGAAAACCTTGGTCGAAGAAGAAAGACAGGGGAAAAGAACGTCTCAAACTCAGCTACTGCGGTTTTATCAAAAGAATGGTAGGAGCAATCAAACTAGTCCTACGAAAAATTGTGGACAGTCATCTCGACTGGCTTACCGAATTGCGCGATGCAGTAACCGCCATTAATGTCACGAGACAGAGCCCTACACGATACAGTCCTTTCTGGCTAAAAAAGCACGGGTATGATTCCAAACTTCCAGGCGAACTAAACATGGGAAACGTTGATGATGACTTCACTGAAACCGAAAGATTGCTCAACCTTGCCAGGAACCAATGCGCTGTAAAGCTCAATGTGGAAAATAGCCAGACGCTGGCGAAAGCCCGGTACGAAGCCGGCATGAGGGCAACTTGTTTTAAGGATTGTGAATCGCTACCGTTACATATTGCCAACAAATGTGAAACTCTTGATCTATAACTCCTTGTTTTACTCCCACTTAGCCTACTGCTACCTCGTTTGGGGTACATCGACGTTAACTAATATTGAAAAACTATTCATACTACAAAAGAAAATACTCAGAGGTATAGGTAATGTACCTTTTGATTTTCACACTGCTGAATTATTTAAAACCTATAGGATAGTTGATGTTCACAAATTGTAGTCCTATCGACTTTGTACCAGTTTTAAGAGTGAAATAATAAAGGGCACATGTTTCTTACAAAATCTTGCATTGTCGGAGGAAAATTCACCAGTGTATTCTACTCGTCACGCGGAGAAGTGGAGGATGGTTACTCAGCGAACCAACTATGGCTCTCAGATGCTCCAATTTACTCTTCCAAATTTGTTAAATACTTTGTGCAGTAGTAATGTTTCCCTTGAAAACTTGACTTTCAAAGGCTTGCGTGGATATTTTTGTACATGATGCATTATTTTAATAAAACGTTGTTTGTTCTGTTTTCTTTTTCTGTTAACAATACCTTCAGCTGCTATACTGAATGTGATTTTCATCTTTGTTTCTCGATGCTTGCCGTTGACCACTCTAAGGGGACCGAGGACCCGTCAAGCTGCATATCGCAGCTTTTTTCCTCGGGCTCCCCGATCAAGATTGATGGAAATAAAGATATTATTATTATTATTATTAACTTCAGTGACATCGTATACTGCATCAAAGGATCTCTGTGTGGAACCCTTGACTCTTTATTTGAAGTATGGTACAAAATCGCAGAATTCGAAGTCAGCAATACTGTGTTGCCGAAAAGAGCCGTCACCATATTGGGCAGATACCACTCAAGATAGCTAATTTACAACAGCTACGAACATTTGTCGCAAGACATATCGAGCCAGTCGAGCTATCGGACACTATAGTAGGACAGGCGCTAGCAAGCCAAATGGAAACAGGACCGCAGCGAAACACGCTCAACTTCCCAGAGGGATCTCCCGAAGGTGTTGAAGAACCAGCTGGGTCAGCGCCAACGGAGATGGATTGGACGCAGTAAGTCACAATGCAACATCAGCACGTATGCCAAAGCAATGAAGGCCTCCAGCATACCTCCGGGACTGTATCACAATTGAAAGTGACGTACAGACTTGAATTGAGGACAATTCAAACTTTGTTGTGGGTCTTGTAGCAGCGCGAGTAAGAAAAGAGAAAAGGAAAAAGGACGAGGAGGATCGGGATGCACGAGGACGGACGATACCGAACGATTTGTAACGCTTTCTGATTAAATCCGTTTTTTTTTTCTAATCCTTACAACTGATATGCTAAACTGCATCCCACAAACATCTGCAGTGCAGGCAAAGGCATGGGAACAGGCGCAGAACTTTGGAAAGCACCTACTCTGCGCGAGCTCGTACGAGCAATAGCTAAGCCGAGTTATGCTCACGCTCCTGTACTTTTCTCGTTACTGCAGATAACTGTGAGATGAAATAATGGAGTGTCGGTGGGCGCAATGCAACTTCTCTAACCAATTATTAAACCAAAAATATGCAAAAAAATTTTTGTGACAAATGACACGTTTTATTGACATCTGCAGTCCGCGTTATTTTTTCCTTGGCAGCTGCCCTTTTTCTGTGAGAACAGCGCGCAGTACAGCAAACAGCTTAGAGGATTCGCTGGGCAACCCGACGAGGCCAATAATTCAGCAAGCGAGGACCTTGCAGAACTGGAGGGTTCCGAAGGTTTTGAGGCCGGGAGTGCTGGTGCTGGAGGAGGTGGTAAATCATAAAGGGTGTTTGATTATTAGTCAAAGGTGCATATATTTTTAAACGGGTGTGAGTTACACGGATTTCACTTGGGACACGTATTTATAGGGCTCGGTGGACGTTAATTATTTCAATAACGATCACGATAGTTTGGCTCATTACCTTACATCTGATCATTTACTTTCTTAAAAAAAACACATTAAAAACATTTTTTAACAGCCTGGTTGGGAAAAGGAATTAATAAAACGAATTTACAACGAAAAAGAAACATTTTTAGAAATATATTTAAGGCGTGATACGAATTTGCAGTTGGCGCCAGTGGGCTCCGCGCAAGAGTGGCCGTTATTTATCACGTGACTGACCTCTATTTGTCACGTGGTGCTTCCGCTCTTTTGGAAGCTCCCTATGCATCTCTAAAAGTTACTTACAGATCTTCGTTTAAAGTGCCACAAGAAAAGACACACACACACACACACACACACACACACACACACACACACACACACACACACACACACACACACACGCGCGAAGATTTATAAGTAACTTTTAGAGGCCAAAGCAAGCTCCTGAAAAAGTGCAAGCAGTCATGATAGACCTGTTAGCCGCTCAGATGACGGCGCGGCGCCTCGGAGCAGACGCACTTGCGCAGTGGCGGCGGCGAGGAGAAACGTGTTCAGAGCCGTGTATTGGGAGAGTTTGGCCATACATTGCTTTGAATAGGCGAGCATCTCGGGGCTAGAGTTCCTGTATAGGGAAGCCAGAGTTGCGCGTCTGTTTTCCACGTGCCGCCGCGGCACCCCGGTGTACGTTCCCCTGCTTCTGAGCGCGTCACGCTCCTCGAACGCGCGGCGCCGCTATTCGCCAAAGTCAGTCACGTGAGGAGCAGACTCCGAATGCCGTGCAGGAAAAACGGCGCTACGGCGATCAACACGCAACTCTGCTCTGGCTCCCGTAAGGAGTCTATACAGGAACTCTACTCGGGGCCAGCCACAGGCCGCGAAACAGCCCCTGGAGTGATCATGAGCCCTAAAAATGCGACTCGACCAATTTAAACCATTTTAGCGTCGCTAGAGTAAAAAGGTATAACTCTCGGTGACTGCAAACTTTACGCATGTGAGGTTTTCGTCACGTCCATATTCAACGGTAGAATCGACGAAAGTGCGCTCCAAACCCGAGCTGACTTGATAGAAACAGCGTCTCGGCCGAGACTGGGGGAAGGAAAGCACTGCCAAAGAAAGCGAACGAGCCGAGCGGGACTCAAGCCGTGCCTCAACACGCTCGCGCGCCCCACCTTGTGTAATGTTTTCTTTCAGCCAGTCTCAGCTGAGACGCTGCTCTAGCAAGCCGGCCCAGAGAAAATGGTCACCGACAAGCCGAGATTGAACGCTTCTATTTCACGCTTTAAATGTCGTTTCCAATAATGTGACGACACGGTCTGCTGATTGGTTGACGCTGTGTCGCACCTTTATTTTTACGCTCTAACCACGGGGGGAGTATTCGGCGCTGGCAGCGGCCTTTGCACTCTCTCCATAGAGTAATAGACACAAGGTAAAGAGCGGACACTGGCATAGGCCCTAGCGGCCCAGATAGACCAGTGACAGGTAGCGCTCCTAGCGGGCGGTATTAAGTATATTCTAATTCCGTTTCCGGTCAAGTTAGTTTCGGTTTCGGTTTGGGCGTTTCTGCTCCGGTTCTCCTAGAAACGCTCGGCTCTCGGGAACTCCTTGACTCCCGAAGCCGCTGTTTTTTTTTGTTTTTTTTTTAATACTGACGCATTTTTGCTTTATTTTTTACGATAGAGTACGTGCAAAATGTGTTAAACAATATTTCAACTTACTTCACAAAGCAGGAGTATATATAGTTCTTGTTCTTTTTCTATTGTAAAGCATTGAAGTTACACAATCGCCGCTTTGAATCCTGGCTGGTGGAGCATTTTGGGGTCAACAACAGTAAGTAGTTCGATCACACTTTATTGGACCACATTCATGTATACATGATTTACTTAAGAAGCTCTGTATGTTTTATAAGAAAGAGATCGATACTCACAAGAATAAATGAATATGAAGGACTTCGGCATATCGTACACTTCGTAATAGATTCTTAGCGGAACCAAGTTAACAAAACCTTTCCACGGAGAACATGCTGTATGATACATTCACTTTCACGCCGACTCGGGTACGGGAAGTAAGAGCAAAAATAAATAAGACATCGCTATCATTACCAGTCATAAGAGTATAATAACAGTGCGAAGCACACGCCGGATAGTACAAATTCCCGATTTCCGGCAAATATTAAAAAAAAAAAAAAAAAAAACACCAATTTGCATAGCCTCAAACTCACTGCGGGCAAGCCATTACCAAACAATGAGAACTCTATTCGAAATCTGACAAGATTCAAAGTCCCTAAACATTCCCCGAAATTGTTCAGAGAAGAAATATGGCTTCAGAAAAAAGCGGCTAAAAAACTGTGGACAGTGGATACAAAAGTGGATACATTTTCTTTCAAATATTTTTAGCCTCCATACACTATTTTCTATCAAAATTTTGTAGAAAGTGGACAAATATTTTTGTTAGGGAGCCGTGATACACATTCGCTGGAAAAAGGGGAAAGAAATATTTGGAGAGCAAGCTGCACCGCCCACTGAATAAGCACTTTTTTGTTTTTGGTTTGGCAACCGCCTCTGTTAATACACTATTAACAGTTAAACCTGTCTCGTTCTTACTAGCCACTGAAGAGTGCAATCGAACTTTGTCCGAATTCCGGTTAGAAAATCAAACATGTCAACACAAGCGCATTCTGCAAAACAATTTTAAAAACCCGTTGAGGTACTCCTCTGGGCACAGGCTAAAACCACCCAAACCTCAAAGTGTGCTATACAAGGCGGCACACACTCCTCGAACATATGTCACACTCTCTAGTCTTGGAAGAAAGAAATTTTCTAGTTGCTGAATGAAATGAAAGGCAGTCTGTGATGGTACTACTAAGTTCCCGAAGAATTTTTGAGGCACGTGGTATGCTTTAGGAACAAGACAGTGCTGGTGAAGCCTGGTCAAGTTATTAGACTCATCCGATAGCAGCTGAGAACAGCCACAGCTGTAAGTTGTCTGTTCAAGCAAAAGCTTGATCAAATAGCCCCAAACGTAATAAAAAGTGGACGAGTCATCAATTATGTTAGACCTGATGTCTGATGCCAGCTCAGAAATATCCTCTAGTGGCGGGAAGTTATAAATTGGAAGACATTCCACAATGTCTGAAATTAAACTTTCATGGTGCGAAGATATTTGCAACTCCTTTAAGAGGTCAGCCTTGTCATCCTCTACGTTTTCATTGTCCGACAGTTTGAACAGTTTCTTTATCCAGAGGTGTTTTAGTCCTGAGGTGAACTGATGCACATTTGGGTTTATGTTGCAGCCCAGCATTTGTCGTATATAGCTCCAAAAACGTTCTCAAGTGTGTCTTGCTGCAGGCGTCGTGTAAGTAAGAACTTAAAGTCATGGCTGCTAGAAAGCTCATCCCAGAGCATGAGGACACTTTTTATAGTAACTTGCGACCCAATGATGGCTTATGGCTGCCTCCTACTTTGGAACTGCCATGCTGAAATCCATCCGAGTTACTGGTGGAGAAAATCAAGTATTTCAGATTCTCCCTTCAGAATGGCATGACGCAACTTCTGCCATGTCTTCTTAAAATTTTTAGCTATTTAGACAATAAAAAGTATGCACATCCTATCACAGAAATAAGCTGTAGCCATGGCTGCCTCTGGAAGTTCATTGGCATAAGCAAGGGGTATGACTGCAAGAAATAGTGAGGCACTCAGTACCTGTGGGGCACAATTTTCTTCCATGTTACAGAAAGGTTCTTGAAAAAATGTCTCTCAGTAAGTTTCGGAGCCAATTGGAAGCTCATCTCATGGATAGAATAATAAAGTTCAACAATAGAAGACCGCTCAATGACCTCATTTCCAATGCAAAGCTTGTGGGCTTGGAGATTGCTCTTGGTTGTTTTGGGAAGGTGCGGAACACCGAAGACAAAGTAAACGTGTTCGTTGTCAACTTCAAAAAATGGCTTATCACAACACACACCAAGCTTACGTTTGAAGCCCCCTAGCCACAGACCACAGCCTTTACTGTGAAGCCAACTGTCTTAAGCTCCCGAATGAGAGAAATGAGGATACTGCGTTAAACAGAAGACGTTGTTGAAGTGTGCACAACAGTGTATGCAAGGGGCTAAACGCACCTCCTGGAAATTTCAGACAGCATAACAACCAAGGCTCTATCTGCAATGTTAGAGGTTCGTTCAACACCGTCATCTCTAAACCCATGGACAATGTCGTGTGCAGGGTCGTAAGTTAAATTCATTTCTTAAAATAATCTCATCGAAAATCAACATGCACACACGTTCAAGTGCAGCCAGACAGCCCGGCAGAAACAACAGCGCGAGAAGCTCGAACCGATCGGCTCCACGAATTCACGCCGAGCATGCGAGCAGGCGGGCGGCCATCCGTCACCTTGATTGATGCAAAGTCGACCGAACATGATGCAGCAGAAAGCACAGATGGACGGCACGCACGGCACAGACGAACGACGCACGGACGAGTAGAGGACATGCAGAATGATGCAGAGGCGACGGCGTGCAGGCAGGCATGCCATGGCAGGCGCCATTCCTCACGTGATTTTTGTGACGTATTTGATTTAAGCTATTTAGTCGTTTTAAGTACTTTAAACAATTTTAAAGCATTGCCATTTAAAAAATAAATACTTTTCACAGAAAGGGTTTTAATTAATTTTAACCAAATTACAGAAAAGCGCCACGTAGCGGAGGGTATTAAACGCACTATCTGGGCCTCGAATCGGCTAATGTGTCCTCTCTTTACGTTTACTATATTACTCTATGCTCTCCCTCCCAATATACGGCTATGACCGCGTTGAACCATTGTTGAACCGGCGGCGCACCACGCTCGGCTCGCATCGGCGACGACGGCGCAGCGCGACGGCGCACAGGTCTACCACGTGACATGCGGCGGATCCCGCGGGCGCCAACTACAAATTCGTTTTGCGCCGTAAATATAGCTCCACATTTTTCTTTCTTCGTTGTAATTTCGTTTTATAACATTTTTTTCTATTCATGCTGTTTTAATTTTTTTTTCCTTTCCATGTATCCTTTAAAAACCTTTTATCGGTCTTTCTGCAATTGCAGTAGGGTGTTTGCGGTCAGACTGTACGACTGACCGGGTCATATTTTTTATATTTCTGTAATAAATATAGGTGAAAGCATTGTTCTTAGCGAGAGAGATAGAGAGAGGGAAGGCTTGCGAAAGAGCAAATACTAACGGGGTTGTCATAGTCAGATACCGGACGGTCATCATTAGTTGGGGGGGGGGGGGGGGGGGAAGAAAAATTGTGAAAGGGAGGAGGGTTGTGTTTCCCGAAAGGCCTACATTGCGGGGCGGAAGGAGCGACAACGTCGAGGGTGTTGCGACAGGCCTTGGCTAAGGCCACGTCTCTTCCTTCGTTTCCCTTTGTCCCCCCGGCGGGGTCGAGCCATCCCATTGAAAGTCGGCGACCGGCCGTTTGAGCCGTTAATGACCGACAGCATCGCCCGGCGCCGTGTTGACCTCCCCCACCTGGGCGCGAAGCTGAGCCGGACTGTTCTTTCCGGTTGGGAGTACGTTGGCCCGAGGCGGGGGTCAGTTGACGCAGGAACCGTGGGGATTTCCGGGCGAGATTCAAGGTGACGGCGGCCACTGCGTCACTTTCGTGAGGGTGCGTTCGATTCGGGTTGTCGTCCGACACCACTTGCCGATTATCCCGCCAAACCCTTTCCTGAGCCACGACGCCGCCTAACGGAGGGATCATCACCATCACGGTCAACGTCTCACGGGCTGACAGCGGACCCTTCGTTGTCGACTCCTCGGCGCGGCTTATCGAGGGCGAAATTGCCTCGGCGCCAGAATGTGAAGGCCGTCTGCCACTGCAGTATGCGTGTGCGTGTGCGTGTGCGTGCTCCAGGGGATGAATGGGGGCAGAACCTGTACATGATGTTTGTTGGCGGCTCGGCGACAATTGGCTGTCAACCGCTGGGGTACCAAACGGCGACCTAGGGGAGGAAGTGGCCGAGTGGGCTAACGCGTCTCAGCTCGGAGCGTGGAGCGAAAGCTTCCGCTGGGAACCTCCTGGGTTCGATCCCCGCCGCCCCCGCCCGTTTCGGTCTGGATGAGTTTCGTACAGGCACGCGTTCGTGTGATCACTACTGCGTGATGCACGTTAAAAATCCCAGGTTAGCGGTTGTACCGCACTGGTTAAATTTCTCATCTACAGCTAAGAGACCGATTACCCGTTGAGGCGCATCTCCATCAGGGCTGTATAAACATAAAGAGCAAGCCAATTTTTTTTTTTTTTTAAACGGCGACCTAATAGAAGGAGCGAACAGGAGGTCGCAGAGTGTGCCTTCGGACGCAGTAGATATCTTCTGTACATATGTATTAAACAAAGTTTATCGTGAAAGGCCCTCCCGTCTCCTGATGTTCCTGCCGGAAGTCGTCCTGTAGTTCCTGTCCCGGCCTGGCCCTGCCTGAGGCTGCCTGAGGAACTCCTCGGTCCCAACAAGGGGCTTAAGGAAGGCGGCAGAACCGATGAAGAGGAGAGGAGCTTGAACATTGCGATGAAGGTCAGGCGGCGCAGACGGTATCCGAGTGGTCCAAGTATTGTCACCAAGTACACCAGCGTCATGTTCTATTTTATGCCGAGCCAAAGTGCAATGGGTCGGTGAAATCGCCAAGTTCCCAATGAAAGTATTGGGTGGGACATGTAATAAATTCCGTTCCCTCAACTGGGACGTTCGAGCCTATGCGTATGGGGCCTTCCGTAGAATGCTACGGAGAGGTCATTCTTTGCTTGTTTGGCTGGTCTAACCACAAGAGCCTCGCGCGGTATACCAAACAGAAAGGTAAAAAAATTACACCATCTTCCCGAGGGGAACCATGGGGTGATGCGGAGCGTCGCGGATCGTTATTAACGGTGTTATTAACGGTGTTAGTAACGTTGCTAGTAACGTTGTTAACTTGCGTATTATTACGTTGTTAACTTGCGTTGGTTACCACACATCGCGTGAACGTTGTTGGAAACTCCTTCACGTTGTCGTAGTTCAGCATCCGCCGCTCGACGTTGACGAATGGACGCCGCTTCTCGTTGCCGTAGTTCAGGGTCTGCCGCTCGCTTCAAGCGTTTGCGCTCAGCGTCGCGTGCCCTTCGCTGCGCAGCTTTGTCTTCAGTGGACGTAGCGTTGCTGTTAGTTTGTGGGGTGGTGCTGACGCTTGCTTGCGCCAACCCACTAACTGACGGGACTGTTGTTTCCATCACACTTCATCGGAAGAACGGAGTGAAGTGGAGTCAACAGCGGTGAACTGAACGCGCGCAGCGCGCTACCGCTGCTTATATTCACACTTGAAGGAGAGGAAACTAGAGGAGGAGAGTTGCGCGTGCGCGCGCGGTGTGAGTTGAAGCGAACGCACGCGAAGTGCACGCAGCTGGTAGAGAGAGAGAGCAGAGAGAGTAACGCGCAGCTGTTGGAGAGAGGGAAGGAGGAGTGTTGCGCATGCGTAGTGTGAGTGCGCACTACGACGCCGCGGGACATAGACCCGAGCAAGAGATGCTCCGCATCTAAAAACAGATCAAATTCATTAGCTGAATGCCCTAGCTAAATATTTCATAGAGATACAAAATTGAGAAGCACGAGACCTGGACATTACCGAGATTTCACTATGGTAATTTGTACAGCCACCAATGTCACACCACAACAGGCAGGTATTTAAAATTAATCATTTATTTTTAAAAAATTACAATATGCGCGCCAAATATTAAAAATTACAATTATATTTTTTGTGAACGTTTTAGAGACTTATTTACCATCAGACAACTTTATGCAAAACGTCACAAAATATGAAAATGTGCACCTTGAAATGCAGCTGACGACATAATAAAACTAGCTCAAATTTTTAGTTTACTGGAGCTGATGAATATATAAAATATATTTGCTTAGCTATTATTGGGGTTTTGATATTAATGCAGAAACTTAAGTAATTATTCTAAAAGTTGCAAAATTGCCGGTTAATAATAATTAAAAAAACTCCATCTTTTATTTCTTTTAAGCTATTCTTATTTCCTTGCAGCAACTTGAAATAACTTGTGATGGCAAAATATTGAGCTGGATATGACCTTCTATTGAGAAAAGGGACAACAAAACCTTTACTCAAATGGAGCTAGCTTGTCTTCGTTAGAGGGGCTTTGCCGCACGACGTCGGCCCCACAAAGATACCGAAAAAGTGTGTGCAACGGACACACCTTGTCGGTTCTATAGTCGGTTACAAGTCAAGAAGGTAGGAGAAGCTCCTCCCACAAGCGTGATGCGCCGGTTTCAAATCCCTCCGCAATCGACAGAAGAGTTCACTGGAAACGCACCTTGTTCCGCTTCAATGGATAGATATTGCCTACAGAGTGATGCCAACTTGTCTCCGATCCTGAAAACGACCTTTGTATTCATCGGAGGGGGAAACCGAGCCCCTGAAAGCAGCCTTTGTATTCATCGGAGGGGGAACCTAATCTCCGAAAGTCGTATTTGTTTCCATTGGAGGGGGAAACTCTAATCTCCCTCCCGTGGCTTCCACAGTGCTAAGTCAAACTCGAAAGATAAAGCAAATATGTACAAAAAGGAAAAAAACCCTCCTCGCGCGTTGGCCGCGACTTCACAGAAATGATGGGACGCTATTGGATGCGAGGTGGCGGAGGAATTTATGATTCCGTTTGAGGTTCATTTGCCGCTCCCTTCTTGACTTGTAACCTACTATAGAGAATACCTGCTTGGAGCCGAAGTCGTACGGCAAAGACCCTATGACGAAGCCAAGCTAACTTAATTTGAATGTTTGTTGTCACTTTTATCAACTGGAGGTCACATATATGACTCAATATTTTGCCACCACAAGTTAGTTCAAGTCACTGTAAGGATTTAAGGAAAGTGCAAAAAAATAAAAGATTTTTTTTTTAATATTGACGTGCAATTTTGATACTATTAGAGAAATTACTTATCTTTCTGAATTAATGACAAAACTACCATGATGACTAGTGAATGTTTTCTTAGATACTGGTAAGCTGAATTTCAAAATCTACATTGTGATATATTTTGCGACGTTTTGCAAAAAAGTTGTTTGTTGAAAAATAATTTGTGAATGTGTCTCTAAAACGTGTTCTTTAAGTGTTTTGTAACTTGGTGTTGCATACAAATATGAAATTGTAATTTTTATTATTTGGTGTGCAATTTTCTATGATCTATAACATAAAAAAAATTAACAACGTACCGGCTTCGTGTGGCATTGCGGATGTGCAAATTACCATAGTGAAATCTCGGCAATGTCAACGCTTCGAGCGTCTAAATTTCATATGACTGGGAAAGATTTAGCTACGGCCTTCAGAGATAGCTGAATGTTCCTCCCAAGAACACAACTTTCAGATATATTTATTACAGAAATATCAAAAATATGACTTGGACAGTCATTGTACGATCTGAGGTGAAAACACCCAGTATTTACTGAAGTTCCGATAGATGCTAAACCATTATTTCACCAAAATCGAAATAAAAACGGGCTTTCCAATATTCATCACTCAGTTTTTGCGTTTTTGTGAAATGATTTTGAAACTCGGCATAGAAACGCCGGTACTTAATGGCTCGTGGAAGACGAACTCGCTGACATTCTTAATTGTATGTTACGTAAAGTTCTTAGAAATAATTTCCGTCCAGATTATAAACTCTAGAAGCTTTAACAACAGACTCCACAAGACCCAAGAAAGAGTAGCGACAAAATGATTGCAACAAAGCCGGAAGGCGTAATTGATCACTTTACAATTTGAAACACTCACGAAGTAGCGCACATCTCCGAACTCTGGTGATTACATTGTCATCTTCAGCTTTTTTAGCGTAGCAGCTGCAGAGTAAGCCTGCAAGAATTTAAATAGTGTATTTTTTATTCCTCTGATTGACTTCTCTCTTTTAAATGATAATGACGTATGTGTGTAACGTACCAGTGACTAGAAGAAGCAACATGACGAGTACAGACGGCCCCATTTTGAGTCAGGATGTGATATGACCTTACCACAATTGAAAAGAAAAAAACGAGTTGTTTATTTGTATGTCTTCATATCAACATAGCTGAAATTACCACCACAAGGCACACCCACACACACACATATATATATATATATATATATATAAACGAACATGTGCAGATGAATGAACCGTACTTAATCCAATGAGTCAAAGAATTGAAGTTTTCAGGAACCCGCCGAAAGCCAAAAATCGGCGGAGCCAGGATTTGAGCTCTGGGCCTCCCAATGTCCGGTCGGGTGTGCTAACCTCTACACCACTCCACCTTGGCTTTCTGGCGTTTGCTACCTGTCTTATTAATGCACAAGAAACGAAATGTATCCAATCGGAGGTGTTCTGGAAACACACGCCGCCGCGTGGAACGCGGTACGATGCTTAATGTCACGTCGTACCGCGAACGCGGTACGACACTTAGCGTCGTACCGCGTTCCACGCGGCGGCGTGTGTTTCCAGAACACCTCCGAATGGATACATAATATATATATATATATATATATATATATAAAACCACTAAGTCAGTTCAACGAGCAGCGCGTAGAATTAAGTGATTACCCAACGGCGCGCAGACACGATGCTAATTGAAATGTAAAAAAGCAAGTAGGATTTGGAACTCCGGAATTCTCTCCCAAACATATTGAGATCACCAAGAAGTGTTTCGCACTAGAAGTTAAAAAGAAGCTTTTCTCTTTTTAATAAAACAACAACAACAACAATAACAAACAGGTCTACATAGCTTTTCCCTAAAACAAATGAAGTGAAAATGTGACATAAAATTTAAATCTAGAGGTTCTTATATCTATGAAATGGACAATTGACAAGCACAGAAATATAGATACAAATATTTGAAATTTTCTCATGCTTTCATAAGTTTCCCATACCTTGATGTTGCTTTGAGAAAGACGATGCCTCGGCTGGCAGGACCATACCTTTTATACCTTTTCCCAAATGCTGACTAAAGGACAAAAAAAAAAAAATGTACTCTGATGTCTAAGCGTGCGTGTCTTGTGTCAATAGCAGATTGCAGCAAACACACACACACACACACACACACACACACACGCGCGCACGCACAAACACACACACACACACACACAAACACACACACACACACACACACACACACAAAGGAAGCACCTGCTTCTGGAGTTCCCTGCTTTGCATAGCGATTTACGATGCGCGGGAAAAGGACGCCTGCAAATCATCTGTGTTTTGCTGTAATGGTACTTCGGTAGACAGGGCTAAAACGCTGCAAAACAGGACAAACAAGAAAAAAAGCCGATCTAGACAAAAGCCGCTGCGAGGGAATATTTATTACCACGTTATTATTTCGCCATAACGTGCAGAGTACACATGTATTGTAGTAAAGCAATGAACAAACCTTGGCAATTTAACCGTTTAATTGCCGTTTTGTAGAATCGTGCGATTGCTCCTACAATTGGGAATGAATACATATATAATATTCCGCATTTTTGTGAATTAAGGATGTCATGTGTCGAGCATCCTTTTCCCCCCGCTCTTATTCCACTTTGGGCACAAGTACCTCAGAACAAAGAGAATGAGGAGGCTATATTGCAAGTTCAAGGGCATAAGTTTCACAAAATGTGAGCAAAAAGCGAAAAAAAGAAATAAAAGAGGACGCAATGAGAGAGACACGATGTGGCTGCGAGAGATGGAGTCAGTGGAAAGGAAGAAGGTACTTAGTGGCAGAAATAAGGTAGTGCATTTTTTATTCGTTAGTAAGTCAGCAACATTCCACTACATAAATTTAATTTAAACGTTTTCATCTTTGCCGCGTTCGTGATTGAAAGTCCTAGTTGCCATTTGCTTCTAAAAACTTCAGGAGTCCGACTTAGATTTTTTTTTAATGTTAAGCGAAGATAATTGATTGTTACCAGCACGTTTTATCAAAGCAGTTGCGTTCAAAATTCAGAGTTAAATAGGCACGCGATTTCTAAGAACTTGGTATTATCAATTTAGTGCTGGGCTCTTCGTGTTCTTGGAAATATTATTATTTTGTGTCATCGATATATAATGACGACTCAATAAACCACTTCTTTTTCTTGTTTTTTTTTCTCGAAATATTTTTATATATATTTTGCGATGCTCGGTTAGAAACTTATGCATGTTTTATAGGCAAAACAACCCTGTTTTGTCTTGAGCTATTTGCCCGAATGTTAATATTAATTTATGTCACCGAATTATAACTGCGAATATATCACTTTCTTCGGAGGTTTGCCGTGATGGTTACTTGTGTTCTGCAGCGTGCCCTATCCTACCGTAGCTTCGCGAATAAAAGAAAACAGCGGCATCAATCATGTTGAGCAGAGGATGTAATAAACTAAGCATATCGCTTGCCTGCGCACTGTCAGTTATTCACTCAGGTGAATCTGCCAAGCAAACATCTTTCAAGCGCTTGCAATGCAGTTTCCTCGTGAGCCGCCTAGAATAGACAGTTTTTATATAGCTTTGCTGGCTGTTGCGTACGCAATATGCAATAGCGTAGCGTATGCTAGAAAGCCCCTGCCCAGATCGATTTTAGTTTTCCGCTCCTTAAACGTTGTCAAATGGATCTCTCGTACACTCTGGTTGCTTTGTTTCCGTGTGCTTCCAGCGCCACCTAGGACCCCACAAGAAAAAATGCTGGATATATCTTGATTCTACCGATAAAATCGGTATTCTGCGCCATTCTTCGGGGCTTATGGGGAACATTGCTTTTTTTATATGGGGAATAAAGTTTATTATTAATATTATTATTAATATATTTTGCAGTTTGTAAGCTGCATACTTCTGAGCCCAGTGATTGATTGAAGGCACGTTTTAATCCACTTTTATGCACTTTCGATGCTGTTATGGTACGTAAAAAAAATAAACAAAAACGGGGTACGGGGATAAGGAAGGAACCTCCATTTTCTTAAGATGACCCCTTGGACACGGCGGCGCTGGAAATGTTGTGGTGTCTAGCGTAGACTTGAGCCTGTTTTTACGCTTCGATGAGACGATCGGTAGATATTTCCAACGGTTAATGCGTTTAGTGTGCATTTCAGGATAATTGCAAATGTTTCACGTAATAGTGAAGTTTGTCTTTCAAAAGTAGCTTCGGTTGATGTAGCATCTGCCTTCCTTCCTGAGATTACAGAGCAAGGTCTACATAGTATGTGGCTTAGTTTCAATACGAGCTTGTCTCCTGGAATCGATAACGTCCGAATGGCTGATTTGTGTAAAAATTACGCACCATTAAGGAATCTGATGGAAAAGATGTTAAACGGCTTCATACGCCATTCAATATTCCAGAAGATTTAAAAAAAGCCATTGTCAGGCCTTTATACAAAAATGGGGATTATAGTGACATCGAAGGTTACCGTCCTATATCTATCTTGCCTTCATTGGCGAAACTATTTGAAAAACACATTTTCCTAACAATGTCAGCGTTCTTAGATAAATTTAATTTTATATCTTCCCAACAGCACGGTTTTGTTATGGGGAAAGGCACACAACCCTTAGTTGAAGACTTCTCCGATGTTCCTCATAATGCATTCGACCATAATCTTTTCACGTGTGCGCTCTTTCTCTATGTTTCTAAAGCTTTTGAGTTAGTCTCATATAAGGTACTTATAAATAAGCTTTTCAGCCTCGGCTTCAGAAGCCCTTTTTACGCACTTCTCGAAAACTTTCTGTCAAGTCGTACACAACTCGTTTTAATGTATGGAGCTCGGAGTTTGAGAATGTCCCTAAGGGCTGGTGTACCACACGGCGCTCGATCCTGAAATGTATCACCAACTAGCCCAAGTGAATACCCTTTTACTGTATCACATAGCTCAATACTATCGCCTCTTCTTTTTAACATTTATGTCAATGATCTTCTGCAGGCGGTCAAGTTCTGCACAGTATTTCAATACGCTGACGATACGGTACTGTTGTCGAGTCACGTACGCTACCATGAGGTCGTTGAGTTACTACAGTCAGATGTATCACGACTCACGAACTGGTTTTCAGCAAATGTCGTTAGAGTAAATGCGAGAAAATAACAACACAACTAGTGTGTTTCGTAGTCCAATAAAACTGGTTCTTTTAGGCAAAACATATTTTCTTTGCGCGTCAAACTGCGTTTCTTGAGAATATGCGCCAATTGTCTATGTGAACAGTACTAAATATTTAGGATTTTATTTTGATTGCGACCTGTCATGGAACTCTCACTTCATTTATGTTTTCAAGAGATTACGAGCCGCTTCGTGCACCTTACATAATCTTTGCATACATCTTCCCATCCCCACAAGAAGAATTCTGACGCATTCCCTTGTATATAGTATTCTTCATTACGGAATAAATGCATTCGAACAGTGTACGGACCTATTAGGGTCTAAAGTGAACTCCTTACTGAATAACATATTGCGTAGTGTAGCTTATGGTTCCAGTCTCCAAAGATCTGATAACCTCTTTAACGACCTCTCGCTACCAACTTTTAGATCACTATTCTTGGAAGCGGTAGTGCTTAGGAGCTACTGGGATAACACCATTAAGAACCCCAACACTGTTTGTCACGCCCTTCGTGATGTAGGACCCTATCAGACGCCGCGCATCAAAACATATTTTGGGAAATATGTTAGCCTTTATTATGTATTTCATTTTTTTAACAACCTCTTTTCGGTGCTCCTCAATGTAAGATCTCGCGGAGCTTTGAAACGCAATTTGAAGACTATTTACCTAGACATCCTTTTTGAAAGTGCCGCAAATTGTGTTTTCTACTTGATGTGACTTCTGTGCGTTTTGCACTACTACCCTGTTTGTATATATTTCTCTCTATCACGCGTTCCAGTTCTCTGAAAGTTTTATACTAACTTGCTTTGAGTGTGCCTTAAGTAATTTCTAGGGAACTAGTCCTACAAGCCTTTAGGGCTTTAACGGTTTCGATAGTGTATCTAGTTGTATTTGAAGCACCTGCATTAAATATTATTATTATTATTATTATTATTATTATTATCATCATCATCAGGAAGTCCGCAGGAACTGTCGCTCCTTCTCGACTGCTCTGCACCTTTCTACCCGTAATCGCTTTAATTTGAGACATCCGGCGCCAACGAGAAGTCTGTGACTCAGATGAATCTCTGGCGTCGTCACGGTCGCCGGCTTTGACCGAGATCGGGTCAGAACGTCTTCATTGACAGCATCGCACCAGGTAGGCCTAAGTGACCTCGCGTCTTCGCCCAACTCGGCTTCTGGAACGCCCGTCGTGCGCGAGCTTGCCTAGTACGACGATCTTCACGGTGAGCGAGGCATCTGGCGACAGCCTGCCCAAAACACCAGGGCGACGCATGTAACACGGGAGTGCAGGAGTTTACATCTTCCCCTTCTGCATCACCCAGCCTGGCTTCAGTGCTCCGCGCTGGTGTCTCTCAGCAAGGATGTATCCCAGAAAGGACTCACAAGCTCAGGACGACGGGCGTGACAGGGAGACGCGGTATTTATCGGCATTTCCTTATACTCTTTGCCTGTCGGCTATGTCTTTACCAGCCAAGTGCGGTAAATAGCAAGATAGAATTTCCAGTGATGGTCGGCATATGTCTTGCGGCCATTGGAAGGCCTCTTTCCATCTGGAGAAGAATTGTTCCGGCATTGCGGACAGCACGTTCGAGACCATGGGTGCTGAAAAGCGGGAGGCCTGCGCTGTCATGCACGCCGACAGCAAATGAGTGGAAATGATTCACGGAGTGGGGCCGGTGTGTCGCAGTGAGCATCTCCTGCTACTCCAAAACTCTTTCGATCGCTGTAAGTAAAGCTAGATGGTCTCACATCACTCAAGGCCAACTTTGATACCCTCCTGACATTACCGACCAAAATGGATGAACTCTTGACCTTGAAGCCGCTAGTCGACAGCCTGAGGTCAGTGGTCACTCATCTCCAGCAACTGTTGACT